CAACATTTTCTTAATGTTGGAAAAAGTTAAAAAGCAAGAGTATATATGGGAGGAATTGTGACCAACTTTTCTCTTCTCTCTTGTGAAAGATTAAAAGCTGATTATTTCTTTAAGAGAATGTCTTAAAATAGAAGAACCAGAGTAAAACTTCACTTATAATAAATCAACGATTTAAGATCTAACAAATAGAATGTTAATAAGATTCTTGATATCATCATCCTAATTTTGGTGCCTGTCATATGTGCTTCCAAAACTCTTCAATCTTCACCATGTAACACACTATGTAATTCATTTGCAATACAAACACAAAATAACAGTCATTTTTTTGTTTTCCCTTAAAATAGATTAATGTTTGTCAAGATCAGTTTTTATTTCTGCTTTAAACTGTAAAAATCTGGAACATTTTTTTTTCTTTTAATAAACATCTAAGCTTTATTAAGGATTAGAAGCTGATTAAAGTTCATATAGACTATGAACAAGTGTGGTAATCATTTTAGTTTTGATAAAGACTATTGATAGATATTTGGTTAAAAAGACAAAAATAGGTAAGTGACAGAGCTGAAGTTGTTTTTAGTTTATAAACTCTGAAAATGTTAAAGAAAGAAGAAAAAGATCTATAAACATTTTAAATTTAATATAAATTAAGACCATTTTGAAAAAACTTTACTTATAAACATGTTTCATCAATTCCAAATATTGTTTGTATACACCTTGGTGTTTATGGTGGGTAAACGTGTTCAAGTAGATGCCCTTTGTTCTTTTGAAATAAGAAAATTAATATCTAATGGAGCTTAATGATAAAGCATGCCAAGCATGAAAGTGCTTTCTCAGATTAAAAAGAGAATACAGGTTTTTTCTTAAATATAAGACTTCAATCTCTAGGTCAGTAGGCATTAATTTCATTAAAAAAACAAAACAAAAAAACAAAAACGGATGTCTATTTAAGTTTATCCAATAACTATAATGTTTATAGAAATATTGGATTAAAAAAAATAATTGATGTTGTTAACATATTTGAGTCGATCAATTCTTCAATCCTCATCAGGTGTATATTCTAAGATAATTTTTTTTTTAAGGGACAATCTAGTCAATCAATTTCAGCAGTGTTAAGGATGCAAACATGACTATGTGCCCAGGCAATTCTAAACTATGACTAAGTTCCTCAACACCTACTTTACCAAGCAATGCAAAGCATATAGTGTAGAAAAATCTGTATAAGCCTGATAGGTACATGACTGACAAGATCAGACTCCCTCCTTTAACTCCCCAATTATAATCTGGACTTTGTCCAAGAGGAGTGATGTGCACCTTTCTCTCCCAAGACATGGTATACAATACCAAATTTTCAACTCCTTAGGCTATACCTTTTTATATTCCAAGAATTTGATATTGGGTGGTTTGCTCCTTATCTACCATTCCTCTATTCTTTACATGTGATGTTAAAAATGTAATCTTTAGCCAGATCTTTCCTTTCATAGTTATGAACAATGCCTTGTCAATTTCTATTTATCAAGAGAACATTTCAAACTTATACTGATTTTATAGATTTATCTCCTTAAATTATACAGAGTGTACCAAAGTAGGTTATTAGTCTCTATTGACTAAATAGCTGCATTCATGTAAATATTTAAATAAATCCCTACCAAATCTGTGGACCAATGATCCATAAACATTTTTTAATTTTAGCTATATACTTGAATTTAATTGGAAAATTCCTTTATTCTATAAATAATTTATATTTTAATCTAATAATATGGAATAAAATGTTCTAATCTTAATATTTTTAACATCAAAATAATAAATAGTTCCTTTATATATAGCCTTTCCTTTTGATGTCCAAAGATTATGATTTGGACTTTGTGACACACACACACACACACAGAGAGAGAGAGAAAAAAAATAAGAATGTTGTCAAAAGCTTGACAAAATAAGTCTTTTAAAAATAAATACAATAAAATAAAAAAAAAAAAAAAGGTTTGTATAAAAGTTCCTGATTTCTTTCTCTGAATGTTAAGTAGACTTGAGGTAGATTGCAGAATATGCTTCCAGTACATTTCCTCGTCTATCAAGAAAAATCTTGATCAGATGTCTCTGTAGGATGAATTATACATTAACCAATTTAACAAAACTACTTATAATTATGTTGGGTCAAACTATGGATTCTATTCTCTTTCTTGTATATAAAGATGAGCAGAGAGAAACAATCCCAAGAAGCTAAGGAAATTCCAGAGACCCCATTTTGGGAGACAGTCTTAATAGCTGCTCATCATCAATCAAGTGTTTAGCTATTTTCTCAAGCATTATGGTTTCATGACTAGTTGTTGAACCAATTCAAAAACTATGTTGAATCCTATTAGATAAGGTATTTGTAGTTCTCAGGCCTTGGCTGATCTCTGTCCATTTTGGCAGTGAGGCAGGGTGGTAAGAGATGAACTATAAGCTTAGTCTCAGAGTTAGATGAAAATGACAGGCAGGGATAAGATAAGGAAAAACAGGAGGGAGGAGGAGAAGGAAGAAAAAGAACCAGGCAAGTCAAATATGGTAAGCCTGTTGAAATGGTACTGAATATACTGGCCATTAGAGGAGTAATTAAAAGAGGAACTCAAGTTTAGGTCTTAGCCCTGTTTGATGGTTGGGTTGGGAGAAGACAAGTTGAGCACTGAACTATACAGGGTAAGGAAGGGAAAAAGAAGCAAAGGGAGAGAGAGATCAATAACTTAAGATGCATTGATGATAGACGACAACTGGCATCAAGTAAAAATGATTCTCCTTTGTTGATAAATCTACACTGGGAGATGGCACATGTCCTGATAGTATCTCTCTATGAATGCACATCAGAGAGGCACACATCTGTCAATATTGTAGACAAATCACCATAGCAAGCAGCAGTGGAGAAAAACAAAGAAATAAGAAAAACTGATCACTGCTACCAGTGTACCTGTACTGTACTTAAAGATTTAAATCAAGAGAGATAGGTGGAGGAGATGCATAAGGAAATAGAGAGAGAGAGGAGATGAAAGAGAAGATGATATAGGAGAGAGATGCATCAGAATGCAGTGGTGATGAATCAGTAATGGCAGGAGATGATAAGCCAGATTTATGTGAGACAACTAGTCAAATATCCCGTAAAAGACTTGGAATGGGACAATCTTTGTGAAGAAATCCAATGATCCTCATATATATATATATATATTCAAATCATGCTGAGACACAAGGTTATCAACAGATGAATAGTTTATTTAAAAATTCTATTGCTGGTTTTAGTAGTATATATATCTGTGTGCATATGTGAAAATAGGTCTAGTCTAAGTTTTAAAACTATATATTTTATCCAAAGGAAAAAAAAAAAAAGAATAAAATTGTTGTACATTTCATTTTCTCAGTATCACTGAAGGTAGGTGAATGTAGAATAAAATATAAAAATCAGTGAACAGCAGAATTACAATTCATGTAGAAGAAAGCTTCAAAAGAGAATTTGGAAAGAACATAAGAAATGTACAAATGAGATTGTTTTATTTCTTAATAAACAAATAAATAAAAATCATGACAATTTCTATAGATTGACAGGTGTGAAATACATTTTACTAAAGTTATGTACCTTTTTTAGTTGATGGATCCAGATTAACCGCTATTGCTGTAATGAAGAGTTTTTTTTTTTTGCTTTTCCTAACAATATAGGAATGTTTTTCTTTTACTATCTAATGCACACCTATATTAATAACGGTGTGCACTTTTTATGAAAAGCAGCAGTGTCATTATTTTATTGATGATAATGATATTCAACACATCTGTAGAAATGATTGCAGCAGGTAACTAAAAATTCAGGAGTTTAATAAATAAATAAGAAAAGCATATATAACATTTTGTATTGGTTTTGAAAATTTTTTCTCAGCATATAATCTATGTACAAAAGATCACAAATGAAACATTTTGTAGTGCTTATTCTGCTGTACTTTAAGACCTACCGATGTCAATTATTTTGCCACCATTCAGTATTTCTATTAAACCTCATCATTACTGCCAATTGGTTTCAATAGATCAATTGAAATAAGAAGAATCTTTGTCAAAAGATTGATGCCAACATGGAATGAACAACATATTTTCAAGCGCATTATTTTTACAATGTATTTTCTTTTATAAATCTGTATATGCAAATAGGCATAGATTTTTGCCTTGCCCTGTGTTATATCATTCAGTCATTTGGTTAAACAACATTGACAGATATAAAATCAGCAGTCAGTTATTCAAAAAAAATAAATAAATAAATAAAAAATAAAGGAAAAATTTCCATGAAAAAGAAAGAAAAATTGCTATATTTATAAAATCCATTGCAATTCAGAGTCTAATCAGCAGATAAGAAAAAATATCTAAACAAAGAAACCATAAAAATAAAGAGGTTATTTTTTTTTTTTTTAAATGAAAAAGTGAAGTAGACATTATTGCCACTTTGTCATAATTCCTTGCTCTCTAAAATACCTGAATGATATTTGAATGAAAATACCCTTTCCTTTTTCAATAACAGCCACCATCTATGAGAGTGGTTATGGGTTCAGCAGTTCATATGACAACTTAATCATCAACACATTTTTCCCTTTTATATGCAGCAGCTTAGATTTGCTTCAATAAATCTTCAAGAACAACTTGAATGCCTCAACGACAAGATAAATATCAAACTTGGTTTTAAAAATTATTATTTTTTCTTCTTCTCATCATTTCCATCTTTGTAGTAACATGTAAGCATCTTTATGGCACTGAAGCTCACCAAATTTAATGCCTGCTAAGATCATACTGTTTTTACTTCTGTAAAAATTACTAAGAATATTAAAAAAAAAACTAAAAAATTATATATCTGTGATTATTATGGTTTTTTAAGCATTCAAGTTGATGTGGAATTGTTATGCTAACTTTTAAGGAACAAATTTCACTAAAACATAAAAAATAAAGTCTAAAACTTTATTTTCTTTTAAAAAGCTCAGCAGCATTTATTTTAAGATATTTTTTTAGCGTTTGTTTAACAAAGAGAAACAAACATTGGTTGCATAAAAATGGTAAAAGAAGAAGGTGATGGCTGACCGGGATTGATAAGATTGGGGGGAGGGAGAGAAAGAGAAGTTAAACATACATGCAACTTGCTTGACCGATGATGTCAGCAATTTCTTTAAGAAATCAGGAGAGCAAATTGCTTCTCCCACTTCTCTCAATCTCCAATAATAAGGATATCAAAATCAAAGAATGTGAAGAATTTAAATAGCTAATTTTTTTTCTATTTCCTAACAGCAGAAATAAGTCAATGTGTCAAGTGAATAGATAAAGATGTATCTCTACCATCAAAGGTGGGGTAGGTGAGAAAGGTGTTTTGTATAATTTTGAGAAGAGTAATAGCAAGAGAAAAGATGCAAACAAATGAGATATATATATATATATATATATATATATATATATATATAAGCAGTTGTCAGATATTTGGCTAAAAGGATGCCATAACCTAGCAAAGATCTAAAAACTAAATGATATTCCTATGTCGCAAGCAGAAAATCTGTGAGTACTTTACTTTGCATTGAATTTTTGTTTTTAATTTATAAATGTTAAATGGGGTATGTGGCTCTGGTTTTAAAAATCAAATTTTAACTTTTTAGAATAGAGTGATTTTTTTTTTAACAACTTATCAACTTTTAAAACCAGAAAATATTTTTAGATTGTAAGAATTTTTTTTTTTAGAGATAATGATTTTCCTGATACAAGTTCTACTAATTAACCCATAGCTGGGGGGAAGAAGAGGTGGAATCATACCTTGGGTATTTGCGCATAAGTAAATATAACAAACTCAAATGGAATTGGAGCTCGGTTCTCCTATTTTCCAATTCTGAGCTGTTATCGATTACACCAACCACACATCTATGCTTACAGCACCTGGTATTTCCCAAATGGCCACCCATCCAGGTACTAGCCAGGCTCAACATTGCCTAACTTCAGTTATTGTATGAGAATCAGTGTTTCAATGTGATAAGGCCATATGCCCTTTAGAATAGAAGAAAAGAATAAGCGCTATTATTTTAGTTACAAAAATTTCTAATTTTGCAAAATTTAAATGTTCAAACTGATTTTAAACTTTAACAGAATAGATAAAAAAACAAGTGGAGGTAAGAAATCTTCTAAATGACATTAAAATGGGGCTTTGAGGATTTTATGAAGCTTAATACAATTCTCTATATAAAGAAGGAATGTATAACAATAATCAACTGCAGCTAGGCAAGTTCTATGAGCAGTTGTTGATTAGAAGAAATTCATTTTCTCTAAAAGGAACTTAGTTTTAAAACTGAAAGACGAGGGTGATGTATCTAATTAAAATAGTGCTTCCTTTTAAACTTTAATGAGCAGGTATAAAGAGTTTAAAACTATTGAACACCTTAGTCTTTGGGAACTGAATGTGTGAAATAAAAGAACAAGAAACTACATTTCAAGTCAAATATAAGTATTTGTTATCAGTCAAGAATTAATTCTTTCTTGCTTCATGTCTGCTAGATTAATATCATGTCTCTTATATATTAAAGAAGCAGCCACCAAAGAAAAACAAACAAATATTTCTGATCAAATGCAGAAGGAGTAAATTTGTAGTTTTGAAAATACCTTTGATTTATAGCACAAGTGGGGGTTCTTAACAATGGGCAATTGCTAACCACTACTGTAATGTGCCCAGGATAAAGAATTGCATATTTCAAAACAACAAGAACTTAAAAGATGTTTTTAAAATTTTTCAGACTTTAAATATGATATATTGAAAAAAAAAACTGTGTGATAAGAGAACATTTGGCATAGACTTGAAGACTTACAATTCAAGATATTTCATTTTTCAATAAAAATTGCCAACAGATACTCATTTGATAACTGGGGAAAAAACCCTGCATTCTACAGAAATCTCTCTTGATTATCGTGATTTACTGAGTGAAGAAAATCTACAAAGACCAGAACCCAACCAATCATTTTACTCTTAAATTCTTTAAAAAGATTCAATTATTTTCTTTTTATACTTTCATAAATGCCCCACCCCCTAAAACTTTCTTATATCAATTTCTACTTTGTTGTTTCTACATGAATAAAATTATTCAGAGGGACAGGATCAGAAAAATATACACCTGTCATTTTAATAGATTCAAATTGCCTGTAAAGTGTCCAACACCATCAGGGCATTTACATGGATAGATTTTTAAAAATTTATTTTTAGCTTTTGATGGTGACAATGTGTGAAAGCTTCAACAGAATTTTTGCAGCAGTATTGTTAAGAGTTATGAAACCAGTCTGTTGTGTTCAATAGAAACTGCCTGTTGATGTGTATTAACAAATCTTGAAGACGAGAGCCCAGTGAACAAAGCACTTAAACTAGAGACTGTTGAATACAAACAGGCAGCAGACAGACTGGGTGAAGAGGCAGAATTATCAACAATAAAAAAAAAAATTATATACTGAAGGTGTGCATTTATACATATATAAATATATACATACATATACACATATGCACGCACAGACATGCAAACATACACACAATCATGTGAACATACAGAGTATCGAATGTAGATAAAAATGGTAATAGATATATCAATTCCACATAGTAGAAAAAATATTTCAGTTCAAATAAAAATGTAAAAAAAAAAAAAAATTACCATGCATTATATTTTCTCACTTTTTTTTTGTTTTTTTCTTCATGCTCGATTGAAAATAGCAGTGAATTAAAGGTTTCAGCTCAACCCTAAACCCTAACAATTTACACACACCAGACAAAGTGAATATTTTTGGAACCTTTTCCAACTTGAGAAATGAAAGTTTTTGTTTATAGCAAAATGACACAAGTGGATCAATTAAAAAAGTAAATAACAACATTCTGTGATAGTCCACAAATAAACAGACAAAATAAATCACTTTGCAAGAAGTAAAAAAAAAAAAAAAAAAAAAAAATCATGCCAATGTTAAGAAATAAAACAAATTTTTGATTCTATAAGCCATGAAGAGATGGGAGTAGGGGAGATATTGTTGCTGTCCATTCTTTTTCAAACATTATTATTGTAAATGTGTATCTGCATGTGTTTTGTGTAGATATTAAATTTCCAAACCCTCATGACAATTGGAAAGGGAGTGTCATTTATTTCTTCTTTTAGAAACAAAAAAAAAAAAAAAAACCTTGAGATCTATACATAATACTAAAATTTAAAGTGGCAGTTGTAAATATGCACTGGGCCTTTGTCAAAGAAAATTTTAAAAAATTATGAAAAAAAAAAAAAAAAAAAAAAAAAAAAGCTCAGCCCATATCTGAAACTTCTGTAAGCTCTAAAGAGTTGTCACGACACACACCTGACTGTTTGTCACCAAAATCCAAGCGTATTCGCTTAATTTTTGCACGGTGGTTTTTGAACCACAGCTGAACATTCTTAGATTCGAGTTTGGGAAATTTTTGTCGATACTCCGACTGGTTGAGTTCTTCACAATACTTATCAATCATGTAAGCCGATGGGTGTGTTTCTTCAGCAAACCACTTTTCAAGTTTTGGAATTTCTGTTAGTGGGTCAATAAACACACGAGTGCGTCGTTTCTTCTCCAGGCTATGGCTGTGAGATTTCGAGTGCGATTTCTCTTGTAATTGGCTGTAATACTGGGCGTTGTAAGGGAGGTAATGCATGGGCAGGCCGCCATGTGTCATGTGGCCAGGGACCTGCAGGGTCTGTGCAAGGCCACTACCGGACATTGGCTTCATGTTCACACTGTCTGGTGACTTACTGTCATCAATCTCTTGCTTGACCACTATGTTAAACTGATCAACGTCTTGACTAGACATAGAGTTGATGTCTAATGATCGATTATCATCAATAGATGAGTCACCATCATCGCAGTCCATTTCCTCATCCTTAAACTTTTTGTGGTTGTGAATGACACCTTCATCATTCTCTTTTGAACTACCTGTGTGGTTGTAAGGGAGGTCTTCTTTTACACCTGAGTGGTTGTAGGAGGCGCTCTCTTCTTTGGAGCTAGTGCTCTCAAGGCTGTCACGGAACCTTGTATTGTTATATGTGTTGTCTTCCTTGGGGCCAAGGTTCTCCAGGTTATCCCGTGGAGGAGCTAGATTCACGCCACTCTCATCTGATGGCGCATAAGACTTGTTATTGTCCAATTTGTCTTTCATATTATCATCAGATGAGGTACGAGGGAGCGGGATGGGTGGGGAAGATGCTTCAGATGATTTTAGGGAATCCATCTTTTTTTGACTCACATCTAATGGCTTACCATCATCCTGATGATGGCCTGTGGTCATATCCATAGCATTGCCACAGTCTTTAGTATAAGTTGTGTGGAGAGGGTGAGGCACAATGTAAATTGCATTGCGGTTAGGGAGATAAGGTAAAGAATCTGTTGTGTTCCCATACGTGTCACCATTTGCATTTTCTTCAACACCTTCGAGGCTGTCTTCAAGGTTTTTACTAGCCCGGCGCAAAGCAGCACGGGCATTCTTGAACCAGTAAATAATGTTGGTCAGATCTAACTGTTTGCGCCCTTTGCGGGATTCCAAGGAATTGAGCTCATTCAGATAGTGCACCATTTGCTCTCGTGTTGGGTGCTGATTCTGCTGAAACCATCGTTGAAGCCTGGGGATCTCATGTTCGGGGTCAAAAGATGTGCGCATCCGTGTCCTGCCATGAGACAGAGCATAAGGAGGTGATTGTGCAGGTGAAGGTGTGGTGATTGTGGTTGTGCCACATGTTGTAGCTGTTGTTGATACAACTGCTGAGTTGTTTGATGGAGAGATGCATTGAGGAGGTTTAAGGACAGAGTTAGGAGGTAATGGACCAAGTCGTGGTCCATGGCCATCAACTAGGGATGAGTTGATGGACACAGGGGAGACTAATTTCAGCTGATTCTCCCGTAAAGCCATAGAAGATCTACGGATTTGTTCCTTGTACCAATTGTTGAATGCCTGGCGTCTTTCTTCAGATATGGTGGTCAGTTTTTCTCCCTTGGATAAAGAAAGCAGAAAATTCTGAAAAATAGGGAGAAAAAAACAAGAGAAAGGAATTAGATCAATATAGCTAATGGCAATAAAAGGTATTAAGGACAATGAAGAAAATTTCACAAAAGCATTTGTATTTATTGAAACAAGTACTTGCTAATGCCTGATAATTAGCACATGATTTTCTAATCATTGGTAAAAAAAAAAAAAAATTAGAATCAAATGCTTTTCTTGTTCACAGAAAGCGGTGCTCTGAAAGTAATGCTTCCTATTTTTATGTTAGAGGCACGGCAGTAGAAGTTAAATCTTTTCACTAATAAGCCAATTTTTTTTCTTTGTCTTCTTACAAATAGCAACTGAGCAAGTCTGGCAAAATGGTATAGTTTGCATGCATTTTCATCCCAGATAAGTATTATTGACATTCATTGATGCTTACTCAATGTTTATAGAAACCAAACAGTGGATTATGAGGACAGTAGGTCATATGTTTCAGCAATGGCCAATTATGCTAGTAACAAGCCACATTTTATGAGCTTAGCATGATGCATATTCTTGTACATCACTGACAAAAAATGTATGAATGGTGTTGATGATGTAGAAAACTTGCTAATGTAATTGTTTCCTGTATCTGTTGTATTTTTTGTAGACAGGAGGCATACAATCATAATCAGAGATATTCCTATAGAAAAGGTGAAAAAGATTTAGAATTCAGAGTAATCCAAAGTGAGAACCTAATTTACTCTATATATATATATATATATATAAACTATAGCTAGATGTGTGTGTGTGTGGGGGGATATGGATTCATACCTTTCCCAATGTTATTAGTGCAAAAGCAAATACAACAGATTAGGCTGCAATGCTAACTTGGCTTACCAATTGCACCGTCCATGCTGATAACTTATGCTGCCTCCACAGATTACAAATAAAGAAAAATAATATCATATCCAAATAATTGGTAGAAAAAAATGTTAGCAGGCCCAAACATGTCAATTACACATTTGTGAAATCAGTACCAAGCTTGTCTAAGAAACATCAGGTTAAAACTTAAAACCATAAGAAAAAAAATCTGTAATAAAGGTTAAAAGATTAATGTAAGAAAAACAAAGTTCCTTTAACAAATTTTAAAGGTTTATTTGATGATACTCAAAGGTTTTGAAAATCCATTTTTTTTAAGTAAGAGTTTTGGGAAAAAAACAAAAAAAAAAACAAATTCTATTTGAAAAACTAGCAGAGAATCATTAAATCCCAAGACAAAAATGGTAGCAATTAATAGGCTTAAAAGATTTGGATTGCTTGAATATTTGTATCACTTTTTAAAGCTCCCACTGCATGGGTTTCAAGTAGACAATGTATCAAAAAGGAATGCATGCATTATAAAAATCCTTCAAATTTGAGTATCTAATAAGATTAAAAGGTACTAAAGTACTACTATATATAAAGAAACAAAATGTCTATGAAATATTGACTTGGGGAAATAGTTGAAGTAAAATAAGTTACAATCAAAGAACTTATAAGACATGTTTATTTTTGGCAGTTCATCATGCAGGAATTTCTTTCACCTCTATAATTAAATTGTAGATTTGTGAAAAAAACTTTCAGAGTAAAAAAGGACATTTTAAAATTAATTCATTAATTAATTTTATTTTTTCAATTATGTCTTTCCCTAACAAATATTTATTTAATATTGAAAAAAATACAATTATTTGACTGTTTCTCTCTCTCTCTCTCTATATATATATATATATATATATATATATATATGTGTGTGTATATACACACACACACACACACACACACACACTCTAACTAACAAGTACCAAACAGTGTTCAGGGTCTCTGATAATCACACCATGAAATTCAAATGACAAGATATATAAAAACTTCAAATACATTGCCAGTTAAAGCTTCTTCATGTCTATTCATGTGTTGGAGAGAGAGACTTTACTAAATTGATGAAAACTGCTCATCTCCAGAAAGATTTAAAAAAAAAATCTATACCAAATAAATCCTTGGAGAAACTACAGTAAGTAAACTTTGTATAAGCGGTCAACAATGACTAGCTATAAGGATTCATTAACTCAGAATAACCTGTAAACTTTTGACAGTTGAGATTAATATTCTTGAAAGCTTTATTTTTTTTTCTTTGCATTAAATAATTATAAATTTATAGAATCTGATTTAGAAATAAAAACACATATTCCAGACTATTATTATGGTTTAGCCTTTTCTTTTAGCAACAAATTCAATTCAGGATTTCTGATCTAGCCACCCATACCGCCCTACTAATTTCCATTATCTTTAATAGCTTATCAATCATCATTGTAAGCAGTTGCTTATAGGAAAATATTTTTATTCTTTAAATGCTCCAAGAACTGTAGTAAGCCATAATCTTTTCTCTAATTCTCAGATTAGCAATTCCTCAATTTTGCCAACCCACACACTGACCATAATTCTTATCCAGTCTGTAAGGAAATTTTCTAAAAATAATTAAAAAAAAAATAAACATATTTGTTTTAAAAGTAAGGAAAAATTCATAAATTCCCACAAAAAGTCTCCAGGCTTTTGAATCAGTTTAAAAACAACTTTATAAATATATTAAATAAAGCATAGATTAAAAGAAAAAAAAAATTAAAGTACATTGGCCATATATTAGTAAGTAGTGATTAAAATAATCTCTTCACCTAAAAATTACTCTAAAAATTTATGACAATTTTTTTTTTATCCCTTTCGTAGGCAAGAAACATTTTTGTTGCTTTTTAAAAATAGATGTATTAAGGACAAGAAATGCCTATCGGTGTGATTATGAATAAGATTTTACCGAATTGTATTTTTTTTATAAAGAACTTAGTAACAGAAAGATGCAGTAGTTTTGCAAAAATAAATGTATTTTTTATAGTAAGAATTTGCCAAAGGCATGTCTTTGCTTCTTTGTTGTAAGTGCAAAGAGCTAACACTACAACAAAGTATATTTCTATTACCAGAACATTAAGTTCCATTCTATCATTAAACAGCTACAAAAAATGCCTTATGTAACACATTTTAAAGGAAGAATTGACAATAATTAATTTACATTTATTTATAATTTTGAAATAAGTCAAAATTTTCTAGTACAAAAGACAAAAAAAAAAAAAAAAAAAAAAAAGTTTTTTGCATTTCCCCTCTTTTTTTAAACTCAAGAAAGTGGAACAATTTTATAAAAAAAATGAATGAATGAAAATATGTAAATAAAGTTTAATCTGTTCTTCAGTGTTTATTATTTGCTTTACACACACAATTGGCTATAGACTTAACTAGAATAAAAGAGCCTAACACTGAGAATCCTAAATTTGAAATGAACACATTTAGTATTTATAGAAAATTATTAAGGGTTCAATTAATATAGATATGGCATATCAAGGGAGGCTACTCCATTGTGGCACCAAAGACAGAAAAAAGATGGATGTCTCACTGAAGGATCAGTAGGAGAAAAGGGGTGAAAGAGTGTGGACAAGAAAAAAAAAAAAAAAAAGAAAAAAAAGAGACCAATGAGAAAATGAATGAGTGAGTAAATAAATCCAGAATAAATAAGTGGCAGAAGTAGGAGGCTTTGTGAATGATTTAGTTCAATAGGCAGCTGACCAGCAGAGAAATGCTTGGACAAGAGGGTTAGGGTTGATGACAGTTGATGGTTGGTGATATTGGCTGGAATAATCAAATTACTTAACAGTTCCTCCCTCATGGTGTTTTCATTATGGTCAGGTGTCAAGATGAAGATAGGCAGTTTTACAGGGGAATTGATGCCTGCCTGCCTGCCTTCCCTGTTGCTCAGAGTGTATGATGTGGAGGAAAATGAAGAGAAAGGAATCCTCGCACAAAAGCATTGGTAATGTAGCAGTAGCTGCAGAAGAGCCAGGGCCAAGACTGAGAGAAGACACACAGCAGGCACATGTTCAGCCATGGCACTGTGAAATAAACTAATGGGATTATTAGTGAACCTTCATAAAATTATTGTCAATTCAATAATAAACCCATTGAGAAAGGCAGGTAAAGTGAGGATAGTAAAGTAACTAAGCAAAATTGGACAGTAATAAGTTGAATCTGCACAGTTATTATGTAGTGTGTGAGTACCGAAAAGTTCACAGCCCAACCTATTTCTCAAAATCTGATCAAATAAAACAAACATTGAAATAAAAAAGAAAGAAAAGAAACAAATCTCTTCTTGGCCAGGCAGAGGTCTTTTAGCATCTTCTTGAGCATGTATGCACACACAAGAGAGACAGAAAGAAAAAAAAACTTGGTTAATAATCCAAAGGCATCAAGTCTCAACCCCTAGAGTGTTTGATTCGACAAAAGGCACACACACACACACACACACACACACACACACAGCCACAGAAGTAGGGAATTGGCATGATAAACATAAAAATCTTCTGTTGATATTTAATAGAGGCCACCAGTAACAGGATTTGGGTGGAGAGTATTGTCTATGGCTTGTACTTGAGAAGGATTTGTTAAGTACAGTACAGGATAAAATCAACACTATAAGACATATTCATGAACTGCATATAAAAACAACCAGTACTGCAAGATATATGCAGATTAAATGACAAATGATCTAACAAAAAGAAAAAAAAATCATTCTTTTACTTGCTGCCTTGGAGGTGGTGGTGGTGCTTTTGATATTTTTTTTTTTTTTTTTTTTTTAACAAAATGGATAGCAAACTTATTAATCATTATTGGAATATGTCTCTTTCTTGTGCAGTCACACTGCCTATTGTAACCCCATTCCTACAGATGATTTCACTCTTGTCTACATTAACAATTTGTTGTCAAAATATCAGTGCAGCTATTTATTCTTCCCACTTCATTTCAATAGAAACCAGCATTCACATGTCCTGTCATGTGTATGTACAAGTTTCTGTGCGGTTACATGATAAATATGTTTAAATATACAAGTATATATACATGTATGAGCACACATATGTGAAGATGCCTATATATGTGGACAAGCAAACAGCAAACTTAACAAATCTACTTCTTTATGCTCT